CAAAAGAAATAAGCAACTAAAATGAGATACGGCGCGTAAGCCCTGGAGGATCCTGGCGCTTGAGACCGGCCCGCACTTCGGGACTCCCTCGAAAGATACCCTTTTGTGGCAAGGGGGAGAGCGGCGCGACCACCACGTCACAGTATATATAGCTGTTAATTCGATGTCGTAATTTCATCTTCTTCCCAATATAAAATTTAGAATAAAACTAAGAAATATAAAGTATAAAATAATAGTTACAATCCGTTACAATGTTGATAAAATAAAGATACAAACTATAAAGATAAAAAATTAGAAACAATAAAAATTATTGAGAAAAGATATAACGTGCAATTAAATAATAAAAAGAAAAATTGGATCTTTTACTCTGTGTAACACCAATTGGTATACTTAAAGTTTTAATATTGTTGTACTAAGCTACTTTTATTTACAGTACAATACGGGGGTGGAACTGTAAATGTTGCGCAGGAAAATAGTAGTGAACAGGACGGCACCAACAACGAGCGCAGCAACAGTGACGTCGACGACATCACCAACATTGCCGAGCGTTACACCGGCAGCAGCAGTGCTACTCCCGCCACCCTCAACAGTGCTGCCGATGACAAGAGAAGCAAACAGATCGGTAAAAATAATAATTATACATTTATCATATTGCGGATGGAAAACGCGCGTAGATTTAAGAAATTCGGGGTAATAAAGAAAGGCGACATTTGAGATCTGCGAAATTCAGCCTGGTGCTGAAATAGTAGAATTGGTGGAAGGTGCATTTCGCGAAATTCACAGATACGCGACAAATTTATCGGAGCCGAATAATTACGTTGGAGTGTGGTTCGACTCCCCGACTTTGACCAACGGTGCAGCGGGTCTTTCTTTTCTCGTCCTGCGCGTGACTTGACTCACGAGAATATTTGGTCTCTCGTAAGTTTGGTTGCGCAAAGTAACGGAGGGATAGACATCGCTACGTCGTTTACGATACGCGTATGCACCGTCCACTCTCCGTCGGGCAAAGGAGGCCGTCCTTTGGGCGCGGAAGGAATCGAGAAACGCTCGATTCTTTCAATAACAAATAGCGACATTCTCTGTTTCCCTCGCTCACTCGTTGTCGCTCGTGTATACCTCAAACGAGGTAACGCCCGCACGGGCGAGCTACATAAGCGATGGAATGCAATGAGACGTTCGAACTCCTCTTTACAACGCCAATGGGCACAGGAGTTGGTGGAGAGAGCAGGCGTCACAATTCCGGAGGAGAGCTGTGGGATTAGGGAAATTGAGCGATTTCAATGGTACCTTGCCGGGGAGGGGTTAGCTATAATTGTTTACGCCTCGTCTACTTTTGCAAAAGGCGGAAAACCGTTGTACGACGGTGGTGCGTTGCTCGCTTCTCTCGGACGCGAATCCTTGTTACGTTTAATTATACTTTATTGCGAGGGTTCGCGTCACTATTGCCCGATTTTAAATTTAAAAGCGGCGGCAGGGAGCAGAGGATACTGCATTCCTTGCAACCTGCCTTATCGTCTCGAACGAGGAGTTCATCGATGCTCGCATAAATGTCCGTGTTGTCGCGGTGTGACGTCGTGCAAAACAGAAAAAGTAGAATTAATTAGATGCGAGCAATGTAAGAGAATGTTTTACGGGCGCGAGTGTTTCGAGCGTCACTGAACCGAAAAGTCGTACGGAGACGGTCGCGTGAGCGTGTGCAGCGCCTCGCAATTTTGTGACAATTGCGGGCGTTTGTACAGAACAGCGGATGTGGGGCACAAATGCGACGTCGTGTTTTGTAACATTTGCAGTTCGCGTCAAGATGTAAACCATCTTTGTTATATCCGACCTCTTACACGCGAGGATTTCACCGGCAAAGGGAAAAACGCGCGCGTCGCATTCGTGTTCTACTAATTCGAGACCCGCCAGGATGAGACGCTCCAAGGTACAGCGTCTGTGAAAATTCACATGCCCACTCTTTGCGTCGCACAGCAGATTTGCGTCGCGTGTGCAAGCGAGGACGACATGACAATACGTTGCCGGTGGTGCGGTGTGCGCGAATTCGTGTTCCGCGATGATCCGGTGAGGCAATTCGTCGATTTCGTTACGAGAACGACAAAATGTTACAAGCAAATTATCTGCATCGCGCACAACGCCAAGGCGTCTGACGCGCAGATCATTCTTTGTTACATCACGGAAAACCGTGTCGATTTGGATCCACGAGTAATATTAAACGGGACGAAGATCGTCGTATTAACGGCCGGGCGTACGAAATTTATTGACAGTGTCAACTATATGCCAATGCGTTTGTCAGCTTTGCCGAAAGTTTTCGGTTTGCGGGGTGGGGTGGAAAAGGGATATTTTCCGCATTTATTTAACACTCTCGCGAATCAGTCGTACGTCGGTCCGTTACCAGCCGTTGAATATTACTCGCCGGATAGTATGTCTAGCGAAGAACGCGAACGTTTTCTGTCATGGCACGCGAAACAGATGCGCAAAATCGCAGGTTTTGGCTTTCAACGCGAGATAGTGCGTTATTGTCGTAACGACGTTGATATCTTGCGGCGAGCGTGCATGACCTTCCGCAAGATATTCCTCGAGCGCGGAAACGTATGTCCGTTCAAAGAATGCACGACCATCGCTTCCACATGTATGCGCGTTTTCCGCAAAAACTTTTTACGTGAGAAAGAAATCGGCGTCATTCCTTGCGGCGGATATTGTCTCGCGGATATGCAATCCCGCAAAGCTCTGCAGTGGCTGATGTGGAAGAAGCGCGAGCTCGACCGCATCATTGTTCACGCGGGTCACGAGCGAGAACATCGTTTAGCGGAAGTCGGAGGAATTCCCGTCGACGGTATTACGAGACGGCGCACGGTGAGCGTCACGTGTTGCAATACCACGGCTGCTTTTGGCACGGGTGTCCCGTGTGTTTTAAAACGGAACGCGACAAACGTCTCTGCACGGGGGAACGCAAAGTATACGACACGATGAACTCGCGATAGGAGCGTACACTGACAACATCATGGCGTCGTCGCAAACGAGGGTACATCGTGACGGAGAAATGGGAGTGTGCTTTTGATCGCGATACGCGGGAAAATCGCGAAATGCAAGCGTTTTTAGACCAACATCCGATGCTCGCGGCTGAACCACTTTCACCGCGTGACGCGATTTTCGGCGGTCAAACGGGAAACATCGCGATTCGGCGCGAAGTTACGGGTACGGAGAAGATACGTTACGTAGACGTGTGTTCTCTATACTCTTACGTGTTGAAAACCGGCGCTTTTCCAATTGGACATCCGAAAATTCTTGTCGGAGAAAAAGAGTGCGTTTCGCTTATCGGGGCGATGCCCGGTGTCGATTTTTCCGCGGTCGAGGGGCTTGTGCGTTGTAGAGTGCTCCCTCTGCGCAATCTCTTTTACCCTGTACTCCCGTACCGTGTGCAGGGCAAACTACTGTTTGCCTTGTGCCGCAGTTGCTGCGAAAACTTCTCGCAGACTCAGTGCTCGCACGAAAACCCGCGCAATCGTGAATTCGAAGGCGTGTGGGTATCGTGTGAATTACGCAAAGCTGTGGAGAAGGGTTATCTCGTGACTGCAGTGAGCGAGATATAGCAATATGAGACAAGCCGATACGAATAAATAAACTGTTTTCTCAAATTAAAGCAAGAAGCGAGCGGATGGCCGAGCGAATGCGTGGACGATCTAAATCTAAAGAACGATATCTTCGAAAATACGAAGCAGTCGAGGGTATCGCTCTAGATAGAGCAAACATTGTGCAAAATCCGGGTTTACGCTCGGTCGCAAAGCTGTGTCTCAATTCGTTTTGAAGAAAATTCGGGCAACGATCGAACTTGACGAGTACCGAGGTAGTAAAGTCGCAGGAACGTCTCGTATTGCTATTATCGAGCTCCAACCACGAGGTAACCGATATATTACCTGTGAATGACAAGGTAATATATGTTTCGTGGCGAATGCGGGACGAGGCGGTCGTACTCTCTCCGATTACCAACGTGATAATAGCGGAGTACACGACGGCACAGGCGGGATTGAAACTGTACAAATATTTAGAACGTTTAGGCGAGCGCGTTCTTATTACAATACAGATTTGTGTATTTATGCGAGCAGCGGAGAGCCCGGCGAATACGAACCGTGTACGGAAAATTTCCTGGATGATATGACGGACGAGCTCGAAGGCTACGGCCGTGGTAGTTCCATCGAGTCGTTTGTATCCGGTGGTCCAAAATTTTACGCGTACGTAGTTTGTACTTTGGACGGTGGCGCGTGGGAGGTGTGTAGAATCAAGGGAATAACTCTCAATTCCGCAACCTCCCGCATAAATAATTTCAATAGCGTTAGAGAAATGTTAATGCGAAGAGAGAGAAAAGAAGAAAATGTGTCGATAAATCTGCATTTTAGAGCGATTGGTTGCACCGCGTTTCACGAGGTTGTGAACGCGGAACGAATCAAAAATCTGCTCGCCGGTTTTGCTGAAGCGTAGATTTATCGAAGAGCGACGATCCGTTCCATACAGTTACTTAGAATAAGACTTTTTTTCGCGCATTCTCTTGTAAACAGTTTGTATATTTTAAACGTATTAGTAATAGTTAAAATTGTATATATATATATATATGTTTTCCGTCTAAATAGGTCATAATGTAAGCAAGCGCTTTGTACAATAAATGAAAAATATGTTATTTTAACACTCGTGTAAAAATAAAGTTATAAAATGCGAGATTTTCTGTAAATGTTAGTAGATTAAGCAATATGTACACATTTTGTAAAACGTAATATTTTAGTATTATTACATTTTTATTAAAAACAAAATTAAAAGATTACTTTTTCCCGATCTCTGTTTTTTTTTATCCTTAGAAACTGTCTTTTTGATATAACTTCAACAAAAAGTTATAAGCTTATATTGGCGCGCGCGCGCGTTTGACGAGCTTATTTTTCCGCGCGCGACAATAAGCTGATTTTTCTTGAAAACAGCTTTTTAATCATCCGGAATAAGCTCACCGTCCGTTGCCGCGACGAAACTTAGCTCGTTGTCGCGGCAAAACGCGCTGAACCGTGGCCGCCGCGGGGTCCGACGCGCGATGGTAAGCTCATCGTCGTCGCAAACCAAATACAGTTTAATGTAAGAGAATTACGAGCGGCAATTCGCACAGTCTTTGAAATGGACGTGCGCTAAAAATATCCCTGGACGTCGATCGTTTGCGGTCCTACGGGATGCGGGAAAACAATTTTTGTAAAGACTTTTCTCCGTTATTTGCCGAAAATGGCGAATATTCGATTCGGAAGAATTTTATTTTATTACGGCAAGTGGCAAGAAGCCTATCTCGAGGTGCAACGCGAGATGACAACGGAAAAATGTAAAATCGAATTTCGCGAAGGATTACCCCCCCGGAAGATTACTCGAACGACTCGTTTTGTGCGAAATTAATAATAATCCACGATCTTATGCGAGAATCGTTGTCGTGCGAAATGATCGTTGATTTGTTTACCAAAGGTAGCCATCATAAAACTCTTAGCGTTATACTTATTTCACAGAATCTCTTTTATCAGAGACGCGGTCAACGCGATATTTTGCTGAATGCGAATTACATTGTGGTTTTCAAGAACCCGCGCGATCGCGCGCAAATTCGCCATCTCGCGCGTCAAGTCTATCCCAACGACGCAAAGTTTTTGGAAGAAGCGTACTACGACGCCACTTCGCGTTCTCACGGTTATATACTGCTCGATTTGAAACAATCACCACCGGACAAATATCGTTTTCGAACGTGTATCTTTCCCAACGATTTGCGTCATTACGTGTACGTACCCCGCAGATCCCTCGTGTAAAAACAAGCGTATAAAAACCCGAAGCACACGAGTGAAGGGCATCATTCAAAGCTACGATGCCGTCGGCGACGAAGCGGAAGAAGCAACAAAAGGCGCATATTAGAGCTAAGCGCTCTCTCGGTGAAAAAAAACATCTGTCTACTGAAAGCTNTGTGTCTTCTAAATAAAAATCAACGCGCTGCTTTTTTGCGAACCGCTGATAACAAATTCATTGCGTGTATTTGCGAGTGTGTTCACAATACGCTCAGAAGTAACATACCACACGAGAAAAGAGAAAACCGCCTAATCTAATACAAAACGGCGCTGCGACGTATCGCGGAACGACGAGGTACTTGGAGGTGCGAGAACAACCTGCTGGTGCGACAAGGAGGCTTTTTACCGTACATCATCGAGCCCATACAGTTTTAATATCTCGAATTATCGAGTAATCATAAAACGGGCTAAAAAAATGGTGCTGATTTCCACGGATAATCTCGAAAGAATGCAACAACAAATGGCAGGGGAAAATTCCGCTTCTAATACTACACGCACTCCCGGAACTATGCTCTCGCGTCTCGACGCGAAGATGAGACGTATTCTCGATTCCCCTGTTGATGAAGGTGAAAAATGGAAATTGTACAGCAAAGTACTTCGTCGATATCTATATTTTATCCGAAAAGCGAAAAAGCGTTCTCGCAAAGAAGAAGATCCATCCATGATGAAAACAACTGCTGTGACTGGTGGAGAGGGGGAAAAGGAAAAGGAGGAGGACGAGGAAATGAGAGAACTATTTCACGACGCTGAAGAACCAATGGACGCTTTGCCTCAAATATCCTCTGTTTTACCAAAATATTATTCAACACCATTACGACACAATAATAATAATACTCAATATCAACGGATTATTCAGTCAACTCCGAAGAAAAATGTATTGTTTGCAGATATTTCATTTAACAACAGCAGCGCAACGAGCTTTCGCGAACAAAAAACTATAACAAACATAATAGAAACAATTCCAAAAACTTACCGCCTCAAAGCGCGACTACTTTTGAATCATCTGATCGAAACGGCTGTTCCCGTCAAGATCACATGGAACGAACGCGGCATCGTGACCAAGAGTCCAGAAATGGTGGGAGCGAATACACAGTTTGTCCGGAAAGTTCCCGGACTGATTTTTTCTAGCGCGGGTAAGCGGCGCTATCGAGCGGTCAACGCTGGAACTACTTAGTATA